GGGCCGGGGAGGCGGTCGGGCCGGCCCACCGCGGGCAGATAGGTACCGGGCAGGGGGAAGGCGGCTTTTGTGAGGCTGGAGGAGAGCAGCTTCGTTTTCTTGTGGGTTGTGGTAGGCGTTGAGGGGCTCTGAGTGAAACAGTGCTGTGCCTCGTTGGGCAGGGGGGGATAGGTGGTCAGTTTCTGGTTACTCGTGGGCCTGCTGGGCTAGGGGACCTTTTCACAAAAAATTGCCTTAATTCTCTTGAAAGTGTTCAGGAAAGAGTCTTCGAAAGAACATTTCTGCTGGGCCCTCTTAAGCTGGCTGCTGCGAATGGCCAACTTGTTAAGAGAATCAAAAAAGGTCGTGCAGGAGTCCCGCTGGGCCTCACTGCCAGCTGCTGCAGAGGGGCCTCCCTGCCGATGGGCAGCCCACCCGTTGCAGTCACTGCTGAGAAGCAATGTGGTCTCTGTGAGGGGGAGGTCTTGGGGTGCAGGAGGTGCCCCTGCATTAATAGTCTCTCCAGGAAGCAGTTCGTTCCTCAGCTATTGACGCTAATCTTTCTCCACTTCTCTTGATATTAGTCACAGCACTATTAATTCAGAAGGTTGGGCTGCATAACTTGTTGAGATCTTTTCTAGCCTCTTCTTTCAACTTAAGGAGGAAATAGAACTGTTACAAGACTGTACTTGATTTCACCCCTGGCCAAGCTCCCTTCTTGCTCTTGTATTTTGCTTTCTTTGGGAGTACATGGTTTCTTAGACATCGTCCTCATAGAAAATGGGTGGAGAGCTAAACGTGGTGGTTTGCCATCACCACAAGTCATCTTGCTTTCATTGAGAGGAGAATGCTTTAAAAAAATACAGATGTGGTACATTCTAGAAGCTAAACAGCCTCTTAAACAGTTTTTCCTATTTTTAGAAAGTGTGTGTGCATTATTTGCAATCAGGGTGTGGAGGAAAACTTGGTTTTTTTTATCTTCCAATGCAGGTTTCATTACTACATTGCTTTATGCGGAAATTCAGTATGTAGTATAAATTCAAATGCTTGTTTAAACAAGTATTCCTAATTTGAATCAAATGATATATATCATCCATGTCAGTAGACTCTGTTCATTCACTTGCAGGAATTTTCATTGTTGTTTTTGACTACAGCTTTCAAGTCTTTCTTTTTTAAGTTGAGAAGGTAGGAAAACCAGGGAATCAAACCAGAACTTCTTTCCTAGTTTTAGGAAACTGTTCGAATTCAGACAGTAATCATTTAATGATTCATTTCTAGACCCGAATAGGTTCAAACTGGCTATGTTGGAAAACTGTTACTTGAACAATTCAGTGTTTGAGTTCAAAAGATTATAACGTAGTAAATCATCAGACGATTTCTTTTTCTACAATGCAAAGACCAATTAAGAATAGGGAGTGATACTGGATAAACAGCCTAACTTCTCTTTTCCTGCTCCATACTGGAGTTGGATAATAATCATTACAGTTTTAACTCTTGAAGTCACAGTAGTTTTCTCTGAGTCTTTTTTGTTAAAACAGTTCTTCCCTTGTCTTGTACAGTCTCTTAGAGAAAACACAATTTTAGTACCGTTATTATTGTGTTGATTGTTGCTTCTGCTATTCTTTTTCTCTAAATGAAGTAGAAGTTCCTTCAAATCATGAAATCTTCCAGTTGACAAAGGAGATGAGGGTGAGAAGGAGAAGAATTTAGATACAGATAATCTGAATTAAGATATGACTGATAGTTTACTTAGAGTGGGAGATTTGTCAGCCCAGCACCAATTTAGCAGGGTTTGGTGCTTCTGTAGCAGCTAAACTGAGTGGGAAGATGCAAAACTGTATTAATTTAACTAAAGTAGATATTAAAAACCAATTATGCAAGTTTATGTAGATATATATAAAAGGAACTTCTGTGCAGGCAGCAGACTGTAAAGGGTACACTGATGTTAATTAATTAAACGCCCATTAAATTAAATTAACTGTCAGAAAATACCTTTGTTTCCCTCAAGTGTTCCCATTTCTTTTCTCCAAGTGTACACATGTACGCACGGGAAAAAAATCTTTTTGAGAAGAATCTAGGGTATCTCTATTGAAAAGAGATATGAGAGACATCTGATTCTGTCTTTATGCAAATTTTATCTGGCATATTCTGTCATCTAAGAAAACTTCTGGGTTAGGTCTTTCTTCTTTTTCCTGCCCAGATACTAAAAAATAGCGTATCCTATTGTCAAATGCAACTAATGAGTGGTAGATAGACTGCTCTTCTCACTTAACATCCATATGTGAAACTCAATGCTCTGTATTGATTTCTGATGCTTTTTTAAAGTGTGATCCCTCAAAATGTTAAAGGAGAATAAAAAGTTTATTGGTAAATCCCTTCAGCCAGCACGACCTGTGCATCATCTGGCTTCTAAACAAGGTGAGTAGCATGGCTAAGGGAGTTCACTTTGCCAAAGCTAAAATTACTTTTAAGGAAATAACAAGGATGTGTTTAGTGACTTGAATTTTTTTTTAAATGTCTTAGTTCAAACTATAGTGATGTATAAATATCTTGTTGTGTGTTGATCTTACTACGTCATCTCTGTAATAAAATCTGACTTTACGTTTATGTGTTTATGCACCTCTCTTTGGTGGTAGTGTTCTAGTTTGACATCTGAAGTTCTGGCTTCAGAAAGCTGGATCAGACTTCTCTGTTAAATTTGGATTTCGTGGCTTAGTTGACTCCTGCTATTGAAACATAAAATACATGTAATTTAACAACTAGATTATTGTTTAGGTTTTATTGCAAGTACAGCATACTGCACTATACCATTCTTATCTAGCCTTCATACAAGTTTAAAACAAACAAAAAAAAGCCTAAGAAAAAAAGTCATACAGTATTTATGTCAGCTGTGTATATTCTGTTTATACTTTTAAATCTCTGTGTGACTTCTAGATATTGCAGCATTACAGCTGTTATTACTGTTAAATTAGAAATCTTTGGTGGCCAGATAAACAGTGATAGCAGTGAGGATGTGGATAGAAGCTAAGTGACTTGATAAATTTTTACTTCATTTAAAATTCAAGGGAAAATGGTCCTATGGTGATTTAGAGCTTTTAAGTTCTGAGTAAATACCCATATAATCTCTTTGCAGTTGGATTTTGGTAATAGCCTTGTTGCAAATATCACAAACTAAAAATGTGGACTGTATTTAAATATTTTTTCTTAATGTTTTCTCATCTTCACTGGCATAGCCATTGCGTTAGACTGTCAGACTGAATTACCTAGCAACACTGAAGTATGCTCTCAGAGTAAGGTTGACTGGGTGAGTATTGAGTAAACAGTAGATGACAAAGTTGGAGTGTGTTCTAGAGTGCTATAAATTGGAAGTCAGCTGATCCCTTGTGTTACCAAATGAAAAATAAACTGTATTTACAGCTAGGAGTGTCATTGAATCCGTATGTTATAACCAGCAATGTTAGAAGTATTAAAAAGTATGAGTTTCAGGAATGCCTTTCCCTGATATTTGCATGCACAAGTAGCTGAAAAATACGTCTTATGAGTAACTTACTTAAGAGTTTTATGAAAGTCTGTGTGACATTTTTTTAGTCTTCAGTGAATTTAAGACAGCTATTTTAAACTTAAAGTACACATATTCAATGTTGCTTGTTATGTGAAAAAAAAATAACATTAGAATTACTATTTTTTTCTTTAGTTTTGTTAGCACATGCACAAATTCATTTGAGGCAGCAAACTTCACACAAATACATAACAGTTCCAGTGCATTCTGTAGTTCTGTTTCATTGACTGTGCTGGACTGGGCAATAAATGGGCCTTAGCATTCAAAAAACTAAGCAGTCTAGTGCTTTATTGCCAGAAATACTTGGTTTTAGACATGGTACAGTGTGTCTTTCAAATTTGAAATTGGTTGTAGCTGCAAAATGAAGTCTGTAGTGTTTCAGCTGACATGCTTAATGTTTCATAGTCTGAATTTGATTTTTCTGTTGATACTGAATTTCAAAATTCTTCAGAGTGTATTGGAGGTTTTTAATTATCTTTTTTTTTTTTTTTTTGGTCCCTTCATTTTCTTACTTTAGAAGAGGTCTGATAATCCTGTAGTCATTAATTTACTGTATGAAGCTTCTGGAAGCTACCTTTGACTTTAAGATGTTGGCTGCCTATCCTTGATCACACATAGGGAATTGAACAGTTATACTTGTTTCTTGAGCACTTAGGAGAACAAACTGCCTGTGGTCGGCAATGTTGTAGTACTCAGCTTCATCGATATTTGGCTACTTGCAGCTAGATACTGCATTTCTTTGATGTTAGTATAGCTGTATTTTTTTTTAACTTTGGCATAGGATATTGAGAAGTCTTTTTAATACTTTTGACGGTCAGCTGTTTCACATGTACCTCCAAATACCAGCTGATTAGTACCCTGTGAACTTGTTGATTTTAGTTGATGGGCAGCAATGGCTTGGAGGCTGGCATAGCAGCTTTACTGAATATTTTTCTGAACAGGAACATTCAGTAGCTAGTTCTGAAGAAACGAAGACTTGAATCTGCTGATACAAAGTGGTGTATTGTCACTTTTTAATGTATCTTGCTGAATATTCTCTGTGTTAAAAAAAAATCCATTATGATCTCAGAAAGCTGTGTATTGATATCCACTCGCTATTTGACTCCTGATAATGGTGAAATAATATCCCCATTCCTAGAATAATATATATATTTCACTTCAATAACCTGTTTTTCAAAACTGTAATTGTATTTCAGGTGATTTAAATCTTACTGCCTTTTTGGCAAGACAGTAACAATCCTCTGTAGGTACAATCATAAAATGTTAATTATCTCTTTTTCTTCCTTCTCCAGTATATTTCCTTTTACAGAACATAAATAATCGCAACCCTAAACACACTGTCAGGTGCAAAACAAGAACAACTGTTGGCGTAACACTTAGTATTGCTAAAGGAAAACTGGCTAGTTAAAACTTTTTATACCAGTCATGGTCTTATGTAGCAATGGTCTCTTAAAGAGAGAATAAATAATCAAGTTGATACAGGTTAGGATACAGGAGATGCATGTTAGTTTTTTGAAAATTCGGTGAATGGTGAAGATTTTTAAAGGTAAAGCACATTATATTTGCCACTGACTTATAAATAGATTTAAAAAAAACCCAGAAACAAAATAAAGCCAACTGTGTCAAACCAGGTTCTTAAAGCAGTGAGAGAACTGAAGAAGAATCTGGCAATCAAATTCTCCAAACTGCTTTACTCTGGGTTATTTAGTGTGCGCTCTTAAAGCTGCTTAGACTTCTGCCAGGAAAAAAGAATCATCATCATGGCACATCAGGAGTGCTGGTCGGTGTTAGATTCAACTCAGTGTTCTAAACTCAGATTCAATTCAGTGTTCTAAAGAACAGTGAATTACAGTATTAAAACTACTATCTGAGGAACTTACAGTCTGAAACTTGTAGTCTTAAGTCTTAGAGGAGGTGGAGAAGAATGAGCACAGTGATAGTGCTTGTATCTAAGATGTTAGCCATGATTCTAGAGAATTTACACCATATTGGTTTTCACAGTGAGAGTGCTTGAATACTCTCTGTGCCCTAGCTGAATAATTTAAAGCAGAGAATAATTTCTGTTCCTTCATTGTATGCAAAGAACTTTCAGAAGATCTGGAGACTGTTTAGTTGACTACTTCAGATCTATTTGAGGTAGAGAGAGAGAGGGAGAGGCTTGAAAATTATCCCTCAGTCAGTCTCTTAATTTGCTACTTTTTACTAGCATTTAAAAATGATGTTGGGCTAAGAAATATGTACCCTGCTCTAGGAATATTCTTACATACCTGTGTAAGAGTATTGTTGTGAGTGGTGATACTCAAATGTTAAGTTTTGGACCAAAAGCCAAGCATAATAGAACTCTTGAAATTATGCAGTTGGCAGGATGATGTGATGGGAGATGGTGCAGGAAGAAATTAAAAATATTGTGGTGACATTGTCTGGCACATTGCTGTAAATTCTGCTTTATCATGAATGTCTTTTTCTTGTGGATTTGAGAATGTGCTAAGTCTTTGTTCTTGGAAAGAGCCTTTGAATAGCTACGACTTGAGAAGAGTAGTTGAACATCACAAAGCAGTTGGAGTTAGCAGTATGGCTCTCTGTTAACTTAATTCTCTGAAATCTCTAGATTTTTCAGATTTTTTTTCAGTTTTGGACAAATCAAGAAAAGGGAACTGAATTTCAGCCACAGAAAATGGAAGTGCGAGCAGGGTGGATAATATGCTAGAAATACTGTACCACTTCACAATTTCTGGTCTTAGCTCACCATAAAAGCTGGTGGTGCAGTTACAGTGCAAAGTGTTAACTGCTGTCTCTGTCCAGAAAATAGGATCTCTTCCACTTTTTACAAATACTTCACAAAATTTTTAGTTCTTCCTACTCCCTCCTCCTCCCAACAGTATCTGTCTCAGAATGAGATTAAAATTCCTCAGCCAAACCTGTGGAGTCTTTTGGGAGCCAAGACAAACTGTTGAGCGTAAACTGCTTTCCAAAACACTCACTTCAATGTTTTGGTAGCTGGAAGGAACTCGGCATTATACTGTATATTCTGGGTCTTGATGCTTATGAAACACTGCTCAGTGAGAGAAACCAAGTCTCTCTTTTGGTCTTAAGGAAATTCTTTCCTGCTTTTATTATTCCTCAGTGTAGCAGCTTCTGACTGTGTTCTGAGTGAGATAAAGAGGAAAGGAGGAGATAATTGTGTTATTTTTAAAAACTACCAATAGCACTGTCTAAAAGATTGCTGTCTCGAGTGTGCTTACCTATACTGCTTTGTAAATTATTGAACTATTCCTTTATTGTATGTTATCAAGAGTAACAAATATTCCACAGGTTCAAATTTAACTCCTCAGGCATTTTCCATTACCAGGATTCCTATTTACAGTTTACAGTTATTTTGCAGGACCTTCATCATTCAAGTTAGAGATGCATTAACTGTTGGAAATAGCTACAGTTCTGACTACAGTTTAATTTGTTCAAGACTGTTTCTTCTCAGAATGTGAATCAATTGCAAGTAGTAGAAAAAACGAACAAAATGCAGTTTTCTTTGTGCACAGGTGTTAATTGTCCAAAATCTTGGTGACTGTTGAAAGCAAAGTTGATGACTGAAACTGTGCTACAGCTGTTATTTTTAACTAAGAAACCCAGAAAACGTACATACTTGTTTTAATTGTTTAAAGGAAACAAGCTTCATAATTTAATTTTGTGAAATATATTAAAAAACATTTAACTCTTTCCTCCCTATTTTAGTTATCTGAAATGACTGAAGTGAAGCTCTTAACTCAAACTATGATGCCCTGTCAACCAAAACAGCATGAATCAGAAGCAAAAAAAGGTAAAATATTGCATGGATATCTGTGTCAGAATTGTATTTTCTGGTTGGAAGGCAGTTGAACTTTGAAGAGATGTGAGCTGCATGTTATTTTTTCTGATGAGCCAGTGCTTTGGGAGTTTTGCTTCCTTCTGTACCACTATTTGAGAGCAATCTGAAACCTTTCTGTTTTTAATATAACACTAGAGAAAGTGTAGAACTTGGATATAACTGAGGTGGAAACCTCCACTGGTAGACTTGCTTGCATATAAAGGTGTACCTGTCTTTTTAAAAAAAAAAAAACAACCAACCAACCAAACCCAACAAAAACACCCAAAAAACAAGCCCAAGGAAAAACAAACCCTGAATGTAAAAAAAATTCTTCACACAAAATCCTGGTTTTGTGTAAGTTGCTTCTGTGCGTAGAAGTAGAGGTTTGAGTTGCATCCTTTAGCCCATTGCAGGGGTCAGTCATGGCATACAATCTTTAAGAGTATTGCATTCAGCCAATTTAATAATTTAGTAGTTTGGCTTCTTTTTTCCTACTCGTACTTCAGTGCTTCTGAAATACTAATTTTCTGATGGTTCATGTATGTTCTAAGCGAAGCCCCTGTCTCTTGTTGATTCACTGTAAAACCCTCAAAAGTATTTCATTGGTGTTAATCCATTTGCCAGTTTGCATGCAGCAGATCTCATAATGTACTTTCACCTGTTAAAAGACATCAACTTAATAGCTCCAAGAAAAGAGAAACTCGATTGTTTTTACCTGTCCTATAGAAACATGTGCCACTTTGGTGTGCGTTATAAACAGATTTTCTTCTAGGGTTTCAAGACCAGTTTATGGTGTTTCTGATAACTGGAACAAAATACAGGGAATCTGTCTGTGGTGTAAGGTTGGATTCAGCTTTTTGTGTTCTTTTGTATTAAAACAACAAACCCATAGTAGCTCAGTATTTATTAAGTCCATTTGACAGAGTTAAAGTGAAATGCTCTGTGATTTACCACAAATTGTCCTGATGCAAGCTCAGACTTAAATTACTGCTGTTCTTAATACTGATTTTTATATTCCACATGTAGCATTTCCACCCTTCCATAAGAAACCAAATCAGTTATCTGAATTCCTGACTTTAATGCCTTAAACAACAATGTTGAACTTAGTAATTTTGTATGTTCACAGAAAGGATCAAATACAGCAGAGATTTCCTTCTGAAACTTTCAAGTGTTTCTCTCTCTCAGAAGAAGCCAGAGTTCCTTCCTGATCATCCAGTTGTACTTGAAAAGCCAGTAAGTGCATTTTTCTTATTAAGTGAAGTTATAAAAAGTCATGGAGACTTTGACAACCCATTTGATAGGAAACATTTTTCTTCAGACCCACCTGCCAAATTGATAAATCCTTCAAAAGACAGGTTGTGCAGTTCAGCTCTTTTACATTTGTACATAACTTCCCCAGTTGGTATTTAGCATCTCACCATGGCAAGTACCATACAAAGGAAAAGGGTTTTTTTCTGTGTTTTCAGGAAGAAAATAAGGTGTGTTTCAAATTTAAAGTCAGTGTAAAATCATAAAATCATAAAAGCTCTCTACTATGAAATCACAGTACCTAGCTTTGGTATTCTATATGAATGCCATCTCTTGTCTTTTCAAAATAAAAGAGAACAATCTTGATAAATTTCTGGGTTGGTGAAAGTCCGATTCCAGTGTTCAAGTTGTCTGTGCATCAGTGACCCCTACAAAACTATTAATGAGCTTAATGCACTTTGTGTTACCATGTTCCTTAGTCTGTGTTGTTAGAAAGAAATGAATGATGAATGTGAAGGATCCAGGAGTGCCACCGTAACCTTTGAGATTAAATAATCCTCAAATTCTTTGTGTGCTAAGAGAAAAAATTATAATGGCTTGCATTCCACACACCACGTGTGGGAAAAGATACTTGGGTGTAGACATTGTAAATATAAAATCAGGCTACACACTAGGCTGCTTTTGAGGTCATCAGGGTATAGTTCTTCTAGAAAGAGGATTCCTATCCTGGAGAAGTATGTCCAGATGACTCCTGTGCTGGCCACAATTTGAGGCAGTTCTAAACTTTTTCTGTTCTTTGGAAAAACAAATACATGACAATAATTAGCCTTCCCTGATCTTGGCCACAATTTGAGGCAGTTTTAAACTTTTCCTGTTCTTTGGAAAAACAAAGTTAAATACATGACAATAATTAGCCTTCCCTGATCTTACTTTCTACATCTCTCTGTTATATTTCTGCTCAAAATGAAAGCTTTACTTGTTTGAAAACCTGCCTGCAGATAGGGAAGTTTCAGCTCTTGAATTTCCTTGCTTCCCCCCCTCTCCTTCATGCTGCTTGAGTTTCTAAGTGGACAAATTTTGACAATATATACACTTTCGCATGGTTATGTTTATAGGTAAAGGAGGACCCCCGCAGAAATGGAATCACTGGACAAATGAACTCTTAAAATTGCTGTGACATGGCTAAATTGCAAATAATCTGGGTAGAGGGAAAGGATAGTAAAAACTGGTGCAAGCCAAGATGGGTTGCATGTGTTTTAAGAGATTGTTTTGGGGCTGGAGGATCTATTTCTGTGGAGTGAGTTATGAGTTAAGTGTATCCAGTTATATATAGTCTTGTCTTCAGAAATAAGTGTCTCACTGTTTGTGAGGCCTGCTCTTACAGTCTTTCCTCTGCTTTGTGTTAGTCATGTCTGTGTAAGCCCACACTTGCATATCCTAGTTTATCATAGAGATAAAAAAGCAGTGAGTTTTCTGATTCTATTCAGCTTTAAAAGGGGATGGGTAAATTACAAACCCTTGTTAGTCTGGATGTTGTGTTAGAATAACAAAGTATATCGCTTAGCTATCACTATTGGTGTCTTAAGCACAAAGTATGGATGGTTGAGTAGGAAGCTAAAGGAAAAAAATCCTGTTTTCATTAAAAGAAAGCAGAAGCTCGTGAATTTGCTGTGTGATCTTAGAGACAGTGTTGAAAAGGATATTGCAAGTATACTGGTCTCGTTAGTATATAAAGGTGATATTACTAGCTTGCTAGTCATACTTCAGGAGTCAGTTCCACATTATAAGTATGAAATGTGGTCAGTGATAGTGTGTGGTTTTTTTTCTGAATTGACAAGAACAGATGTTTTGGTGTTAACATAGGATAAAACTATCCACTGTTGTATTCCAGTGTGGAATTTTATTGTAGATACTGAATTTTTAGTAATTTGACAGTTTATTTGGAGGCATATTAACAAGAATTAAAAATATAAGTTCTTTTGATGTGGGCTGTCTTAAGATGTATTTTGTATGCCAGCATGGATATACCAGCTTGCTTTTCACTAAGCAGTTGGCAAGGAAGAGGAAAAAATTACCTTTGTTTCCAAGACCATTGTAAGATCTCAGTTAAAGTATATGAACCTTGTTAGAAATTCCATTGCTTTATACTGAAATAAAAATGTTATTTTTGGGACACGTGTACCCTACCCAGCTAGGCACTTCCTGTGGAAAAAAATGAAACACTGGAGATGTTAAGTTTTTCTGTATGGGAATCCAAATATAAGAATCTGTGAATAGAATAGAAGCTGAATCTTACCCAGGAAAATCCTTGACTTTGCAAATAATGGATCTTACTTTCAGGTCTCATATATTAGTGTGTAAAGATGCATATTGAATTTAAAGAAGAGTGATAAAACACACCTCAAAATTACAAGGGGAAAAAACCCCACTAACTACAAACACTTTATGGGATTAAGACCTGCATTATTTCCTCTTCTGAGTTAGCTGCATCTCTTGAAAAACATTACTAGTGAGACTTTCGTGAAATACAGGATTGATTATTCAGTGTGGGAGCAGGAGAGGCTTCTGTTCAGAACGTGGCGCTCCTTGGTGTATAGCTTGTCTTAAAACACTAACACTGAATAAGCAATTTTTCTACCCAGGTGAGGGTTTCTCTCAAATGATAATAGTGTGAGCCCAATATCGCACAAAAGATTAAGCCTGTTAGGGATTTTCATATTCTTATAATATGTAGATTGGAGGAAAAGCATTTCATGATTCCAGGCTGGATGAGGCTTTGAGCAACCTGGTCTAGTGGAAGGTGTCCCTGCTCATGGCAGAGGAGTTGGAACTGGATGATCTTTAAGGACCCTTCCAACCCAAACCATTCTGTGATTCGTGACCATGTAATCTGAGAAGGCACCTGGAATCAAAGAAAAAGTGAATCATAGAATGAAGATAAACTCAAAACTAATTTATCCAGAAAATGCAGTGATTTCAGGCTCCTTCTGGTGCAGTATGGTGACACCAGTCTGTCATGTTAAATTGCTTGCTTTGTGTGCCACCTAGCTTGTTGAGACTGGATGTCAGAGTTTAACCATTCTGCCCTGAAGTAGAGAACAAGTTGATTAATAGTAGAAAGCCTATAGGACAACTACTAACAGCTTTAGTTTTTATGCAAAGAGTGATTTCTGAGTGCTGTTTCTTTCTAACACGTTTAGTGATGAGATGCAGTTGTAATCTACAGCTTTGGTTTGGGTTTGGGTTTTTTTTTGCTTCTTTTTTTTTTTTTTTTTTCCTTTCCTTTCCTAAGCATGTGTTTGGTAGCTTATAATGAATTTTCCCAGAATAATTTAGTTTAGAAGGGACCTCTTGAGATCATCAAGTCCAACCCCTTTGCTCAGAGTCAGCTAGAGCAGGTTGCCTAAGATCATGTACAGTCAAGTTTTGAATATCTCCACAGGCAGAGACTTCACAGCCACTCTGTGGAGAGACTGTGAAATCTCTGCCTGTGGTGAAGCACTACAATAGACTTCACTCTCACAGTGAAAAACAGTTGGTTTGGTGAGGCTGTGAAAGCTTTTTCTCTTTCATCACATCTTATCAGATGTTCCCATTAGTTAAAAAGAAAAAATAAATAAAAAATCTTCCTCATAGCATTTGTGGCTTCTAGAAGGGTGGGAGAGATGCAGTCTAATTTCAAGCACATCCTATAGCAAAGCTGATGTGATCATGAGAAATTACCTGAATGTTGCTTTTACTGAGATCTCTAAGGTAAGTGCTGAGGTGGACTTCTGTGCTGTTTTGCTCGTGACATCCTGATAACAAGTCATCTAAAGACAGTACTCTTTTGGTAGAGCAGTACCAGAAATAATAGTAGAATGTTTGTATCCCCATGATATCATTATTCAGGACTTGTTTTCAGTGGAGTGTGCAAAACCACTGAATTTACTTACACTTAACATTAAGTGGTGTTCAGTTGTTCCATTATCCATCCTCTTTCCTCTGCACTTTAGTTTCCTTTGTGCAGCAGATTCTGTAGCTACCTGGGAAAATTCCAGTGTGTTGACTGATCCCATGTCACTCATTTTTTCTGCATAGAAACCAGAGGGATCCATGAGATGCATGTGTATACTAAATTAATGATGCTTAAAAGGGGCAGAAAGAAGGTGGCCTGCAAATAAATTTCTAATGAGGAACAGACAATTCTACAATGTCAGTGAGCTTGTATTTAGGTGTTATCGACAGTTTGCTGCTGAATTCAGTATTCAGGTGGTTCTTGCTGATGTTAAGACTTCCCTAGTTCCGAAGTTTAGAAGTAACTGATAAAGTATATGCCTGTCTATGAGTGAAAGCCGTACTTGCCGATGGAGAAAGCTGCCTAGAGTGACTGGTACAAGGGAGATGCTGTTGTTACAGTTAGTGGGCTGCAGGTTGCATTTGTCCCAAAAGATACTGTGGTTTTTTGAGATGTGTGGTTCAGGCCTACCTAGACATAGCTCGTTATTTGAACTAAACTGATGCTGCTGTGTTGACAGAATCTGCCAGGAAGATTTCAGATTAAGTCTCTGTGATTAATAAAAGTAGAACTGTTTGCATTAATTAAAAAAAAATCAAATTTTTAAATGTACATGAAGTAGAAAAGGATTATAAGCAGACCCATGAAAACTTGGCTTAAATGACCTCCTATAACTTAAGTAATTTGAGGTTTTGTTTGCCTTACAGGAAAAGAGCAACCCTTTTATTGACATATGCAGGAAGTGACAGGCTGTTTGGAAGATGAGAAATCCATCAATGAAGGAGCTACATATGATGCAGATTTTTTTGGAAGGTACTTGCGTGCCTACAGATGAAAGTAGGACCCTACGAAACGTATGGAAATGCCTATTTCTTCTGTAGTTGCCCAAGTGCTTTAAAAATCAAACCTTTACTTTGTAATGCCCGAGATGGTAATACAACTACAATGAAAATAAATCATTTTACATTTTGCTGTGACAGAACTTTGTCCTTGAATTGCCTGTGTTATGTAGCCATATAGTTCGTCTGACCATAAATTCTAAACCACTACTCATCTGGGGCTTTTCGCTTCCTCCCACTGCCTTTGTATAGCAGTAATAATGGCACAATAAACACTGTCTGTGTCAAATCTCAGATGTCTTACGGTATGTACTCCTCTAGCTTAATTTTTTTTTTTCTCAATTTATTACCCACCTCACCCCCCTCCCCCACAAAACAAAAACAAAAACCAACAACAAACCCCAAACTTTCACTTACTTGCTTTCTTCTTTTGAAATCGCCATCATGACACAAAAGATTTCTTAATATTTTGTGGATACATCCCTTCTTTCAAGGTACAGAGTCACTTGTTACTAACAGTTTCCCTAAAATGAGAAATCTCATTGTGGATCAGAACAAGAGAACTGTCTGTGCATTGCATTCCTTGACGTTCTTTGTAAATAATTGTCCAGTGTTTTTGACTTTGAAATGTGGAAGTAATGGGCAAAATTGAGGAACAAGATAGATTTTAATTACGTCTTACATGGGTAAATGGATATACCAATACATAGTTCTATAACTTTTTTTCTTAAATTAGAATAATATTTAATAGTGAAGTGGAAAGCAGTAGTTTGAATATTTACTGAACATATCCTTCAGTTGACAAGCATCACTAATAGTTATTTTGTGTGAATATAATTACTTTCAGAACCTGCATTCAGACTTAGATTAATGTCATTTGGGTACTGAAGGCAATTTTTTAACCTCTTTCACAAATGATAATGGAAGCTAAATGAGAATGTGTTGAATGGTAATCCCAGTAGTGCAAAAAAACTTTCAAGTTGCATTTGATAGACACTAGATTTCTTTCCCTGAACTGTGCACATAAACTTGTTTGAATTCAGTTTCTTTTATGTTTAGCAGCAGTTAGTCAATTCAGATAAGCTTCCAAGTGTATTTTATTTGTATGTTGTTTATCGGTAATGTTAGAAAGAACAACATCTTTTTTGTTTGTTTTTTTTAATCAGTGGGAGTCTTTTTAGAATGAGTCCTATGGATCTTTTTCCCCAGTTTCTGTGTGTAGCTCTCAATGCTCTGAAGTGAAACTTCTCAAACTTGTTCTTCTGTATGATTCATCAAAGTGTTTGTTTACTAGCAAATACACAAAGGAGAATAACTGTTAGGACATTTTCCCTACTAGAAACTTTTCCCCTCTTCAGCATCTAATTGACAGGACGTTCTAATGCAGGTTATTTTAAGCATAAGTTTAATGAAGTTTATCCAGTGAAAGGGAAAAATATCATAAGCCTCAGTGTAGTGGGTCAGTTTTCACTTAAGGATTTACGCTGCAGCGGTGTCATATGTCACTGTGCTGGTAGATCAGTAGTGATGAAAGAAAACATGCTGAATGCTGGACCAACTTCTTGGCACAGGAAAAAAAGCCAGATTCCCCTCTCTCCTGCTACGGGAAAACTTTACGGGCAGGAATTTGAGATGTGACAGCGTGTCAACCTGTCATGGAGGTGTGAGGTTACAGCCTTTCATTCTTGGGCTGGAGGTCACACTACTGCTCAGATGCAGGGGACAATAACAAAACTTCTTAGGGAAGAAGGTGTTTCTACTTCCAGGTTTATGGCTATTTATACTCTTAACAGTGGTTTCTCTAATGACTTTTCAGTGAGCTGCCAGTGATCTAATGAAAATATTTTCCGCATATGTTAAAGGCATAGGGTTCAAAGCAAGCTGATGGTGAAATTTTAAGTCTGTGGATCCAAAGAGGCTTGGCAGATGGGCAGACGTGTTTCCTCTCGCGAGGGTAGCGGCTAGAGGCTGTGAAGAGAAATAATACTGCCTTGTGGGCATAAAATTTCCTGTACAAGTCAAGTTCTCAATTGACACGAAAAGTTGACCCTATGTTCGTTCTCCTAATCAATGACTTAAAGCTGCCCTGAAGCCCGAGACATTTATGAAAATGTGTGTTCATGTTCATACCTGTTTCTTCTGTAAAAGGAGAAAACAGAAGCATTAAGTAACAGTTGTTTATTAATGTAAGACTAAAACTTTTCACAAATATTTAGTCATACCAATCAAGATGCACTTTTCTGTGACAGTTTGGACTGAATATACACAAGAAACAGTTTAGCATAGTTGTCTTATTTCAGCTTTTAGTATGCATCATTTCACTGAGCTGGTCACAAGAAGAGAAGGTAATAAATGTGCAGTTTCCCATATTTGAAAAGGTAAGAGATCTCATAATAGCAAACAATGTCACATCATCAGTTCATAACCCAGCACACCTGTACACTGCTATATGCATGTTACTGTAATGAAAAACAATGCAACATTAACACTACTTGGAACCACAGCTTCTAGTTGTTATTGAGGACCCACCACGATGCTGAAAGAGAGGAGAATTTATTTATTGGTTAACATAAACAGTATTTGTTTTTTTGCCTCTTGTAAAAATCCTAAATAAAATAGCTATAACATATATAAAGAAACATTCATTTATATATGTAGCTAATAATACTACTTTATTTGAATGCTGCATGCAGTCAAGGACAAAACCTCTCAAGGCAGAGGAAGAATGCTGGAAATACTGGGAGAGCTGAGTATAACTGGTGGAGGGGTGGCTTTAGCACAAGGACTTACATCTCCTTTTGATTACATGCAAAGAAGCATTATCATGTCATAGGTGCGGTTGTATAGAATGATGTGCCCAGATCCCAGAAAGCAAACAGCATAAATCCTCACTCCTGTTCTGCTGTGTGTGTCAGTACTTTAGCTGAGTGCTGCGTTCCCTGGGTGAGTGTGCTGCCTTTAATGGTTTTATTTCCTGGTGACATTCAAACATGGTGCTGTTCTTGTTACACAACTCTAGGAACTGAGAGCATTTTGCCCCAAAAGTAAGAGAATTGATGGACTTGTAAAATGTCATTCCCATAAAAGAAGATCTGTAATCACCAGATAATAGACAGAACTGGCGTGAAAGACATTTTTACTTATTCCCCATAGTCCCTCCTCTTTGCCCTTTTGAAATTGAACCTTACACAGAGAGGAACCACAAGATTTATGGAGAGAGGAAGGAAGGAAAGGAATTGTGACTGTATCTAAGATGGCAATTCCCCTTAGCAGAGAGGTGTTCTAGGCTGGGTAGGTTTTGCACTACACACTCTGGGGATTAAATTCATTAACACAACTTGTTTCTGTGAATGTGTTCATAAATCCTTCCATTTATGCTGTTTTTATGAAAATTTTTATTCTTGAAGAAGAATATTTAGAAGATACTTAAGAACCCTACCTGAATTTGGGCTATGAAAGCCTAGTAATCTCTGACACATCAGTGAATTAAAGAATTTTGGCCAAAAAAATGCCAATTCAAAGTATTTCATGGATTATAGTGTCATAAGTGTTCAACAGTTTTTCCCTAGCTTTTGGTTTTTTTCACCAGAAGGTTCTCTAGTGTCTTTAAATCCAGATTGTATATCAAGATTAGGCATTCACTGAAGATGAACTGAGTGATTCATGCTACCCAGGTAAATTGGCCTGAAGCAAGTTGGTCAGTTAACAGGTGTGCAAGTGATTGTAATGGGTTGTGGTTCCTGTTAACTGATGGAAAATGAATTTGCTTTAGGATAATACCGCATCTAACAGTGCTGAAATCCCATGTCTTCATGAATCATTCTTAGCCAAGTAAGTGTATCCGTATTAATTTTAATTAATCAGATGAGTGAAGACTTGTGTTGTAATCTTTGAATTAGATTCAGATTACGATTTAGAATTATTTCAGTTCTTAGTTAAATGAAGTAAAGATGTGTAAAGAAACTGTAGATGTATCTGAGGTAGGCTAAATTTGTTTTTAAAGTAGAGCCTATCTATGTACTAGTTGCAGACAGGTTGTTTTTTTACCTGGTTTTATAGTGGTATCACTTTATGGTGTCTAAAATTCTTTCAGAAAGTACACTGGTAGCATTGCAGCCATTTTTTACTTCATGGACATTTTCTCTCTTTCAAATACAAGTATGACTTACATAGATCAAACATGGGAAATACTTTCCATGAATCAAAAGCTCAAATGTCTGCACAGATTTCTAAATTACAGATAATCTATAAAATTGTAAAAATAACTGTGAAGGCATTACTTCCCGTGCCCCCTCCCGCAAGGAGTGCAGGCTGAGACATGCTGTTTCTATGGAAACTGCCTGCCAGGATGGAGTGCTGCAGGCCGAAATCCTGCTCAGCAGGCAGAGTTCGAGCTTTGATGAGCATTTTGAATCCAATTTCAGATGCTTCTATATTTAGGCATTTATAAATGATGTTAACATTTTATTTTATGGTAATTGCACTTGAGCTGTGAGTAAACCACCCCTGGAATGCTCCTGGGTCATACTCAGTCTAGCTCTTGGACACAAAGAAGTTTGGGAAAAGGCCACGTTGCTTCCTACAGCCAAATTTGTCTTAAATCCAGCAATTTCGCCAGTAAGAGACAAGATTTGAAGGGATTCTTGGTTCACTAAGTGCAATCTCTTGATACTGCAGGAATCCCTGGCATATAATTGTGTGTTCAGATCAGGCTCATGAGGTCTGAAAATGTCTTGGCTGGTTTCTTTTAAGGAGAAACCCCAGGTATATGACTATGTATATGTATTTTTTTTTTTCCTACTAGGTGGGGGTTTGTTATTTTAAATTTAGCCTGTACTTGGACGTAGGAGAAATTAGGGTTTCATTGTAATAAATCTTTGTTGTCTAAGATAAAAATTTTGCTGTCCTCCCTCTGTAAATGTGGGACTGATGCTTTTGCTTCATCCTGCACTATCTCTTTTAACTCAGATTTCTCTGAGAAATATGATGTTGTATGTTTATTGGTTTGTATTAGAAATAGTAATTTGGAATCATTAACACCTTGCTTTTTCAAACTAGTTTGTTTTAACATAGCAGGAAGCATGTACAATAAATTCATTAGTAGATATAAATTGTTAGTAATCAAGACTGACATCAGTCAATGTATATGTGGTTTAGCTGAAGTCTTCATAGGTAAGCAATGTTTTGCCTGAAAATCTTAAACAGGGTCTATTTTACTAATCACAAATAGTGTTGTTTATTCTAGATACTTTCTCAAACAGTATATGCTAGTGCAACTTTATACTACATAAAATAAAGCATTGTGGGTTTCATTCTTGCTGATGCTTTTTACATTTCTGTGCTTAAAATAAAAATATTTAGAGTCCCTTTCTCCTCCGTACTTTAGCAGAGAAAATCTCACTAAGGGTGATATTATGTAGTGGTCCTGCATATGGAACAGACTAACACATCAGAACTCTTCACATGGAACAAACAAACTATTGTGGAAAATTTATATTTACCAGGGACTAGCATTGTTGTGATGAGCTCTGGAGTTTCCAAGAAGTCCACGTTACTTCTTTGGAATGTCTTGTTGTAATTCATTTGAAGGTGGCTAAGTAATTGGAAAAAAAAAAAGAGAATATAACAAGGTTTTTAAAGGGGCTAAATATAATGCTATAAGACCGATTCTGTGCTTCAAAACTTAGGCGATGATAATGGGAGAGAAGACCAGATAAGCTGTGAAGTGCTTGCATGTTTTATTAAACACACTTTTTCTTCTGTATGGTTGCCTCTTACTCTGATGCTTATCTCTTGGTTGTAACACAGCATAACAGTTCTTGTTCCAGATGTGGTGGTGTTTGTTACTGGTGTTTCTGAGTCTTTCTGAAAGCAAACATACTGCTTTGAACTACGGCTTTGTTCAAAAGAAAAGTTAGAAAGCTTCAAGAGGCTTCTCCATCTTCCTTCAGAACAGTTTCTGTACACAATTTAGGACTGTGGGATTTATTTGGGTTTTTTAAATACTAAAAGTAGTTAAGGAAAATATTTTTGTCTCCATTTTTTAGCCATCTGCCTGTTGCAGGTTAGAACTCAGCTGGTAGGTCTTCTAATCACTATAACTTCTATTTTGGGCCCAAAAGAGACATTCTGGGAATCTGTCAGATGGGGTTTTATGACGTGGATTTGGGAAGCTTTAGGAGAGTTTGCCATGACTTCGTGCATGCCTAAGTGTGTTGCTGGATGGCACACCTCCTGCCTCACTCATTGGCTCCTTTTGTTTCTTTCATTATCATTAAACTGTGGTAATATTGCTGTTGACCTATTCTTTTGTCTCTGATAACTAACATCCATCTGATGCTATACCTTTCTCTATTTGCTTTCAGGCTTTGTATGTTCTGTTCAAACTAGCTGTATCTGACATTATCATTTATATGTTTCAGTGTATTTTAGTCTTTAGCAATTGAAGTATTGTTCTGAAGTCTTAATTGTGATATACTTAGCAAGAGATCAATTAGCAGTATCTAAAGTAATTTGTATTCGGTCCTTCTACACAATTCCTTTCTAACCTTCAAAACTTTTTATATTACAAAAGACCTCACCCCAAAATCCCAAAACTTACCTGTTCCAGGCATTGCTGTTCTCCCAGAACTCATAAACAATGAAGCGGGAATCACTTGGAAGCTTCTGTATGGAAACACTAAGAATTGTAGGATAGAACTAATTTAATCAAACATGGCAAATTTATTGGACATACACATCTTATTCCCAATTCCTAATCACTTATGAATAGGAACCAAATGCAGTGATTTTGAAAAAGAAAAAGAAAAAGAAAAAGAAAAAGAAAAAGAAAAAGAAAAAGAAAAAGAAAAAGAAAAAGAAAAAGAAAAAGAAAAAGAAAAAGAAAAAGAAAGATGACCCAAATAATAAGTTTAACAAATAAGTGATTTGTGAGAAACATACTGCAAATTATCTGAGTTTTTTTCCTTTTTAAAAAAAAAAATAAAAAACAACCTTGGAGTATTTTATATTTTAAAATTAATATTTTATATTACTACACATACAATGACTTTTATTTATGAAACTAATTTTTCATATTGCTCCAACAGTGTTATTTTTCTAAAGAAATACTAATCAGTAATACAGAAAATTATTCAGTGAAGCGTGGTTCAGGGAAAAATCAGCTAATACAGCATATTGCACACAGAGAACAGCTCAGATGATAAATAGAGTCACTTGTGCTGTTTCACTGAAGAATTACACTGTGAGAAATCATCCTTTTGTATGAGAGATGCATCAACGTGACATACAGTTCAGGTGCTTTGGAAGAAAATATTAATGGAGTATAAAGACAGATAGGCTGATGTCTGCTGCAGATAGACTTTTTAAATAATACCGTTGGGTACTATTTAATTGTTCTTATGCTATTCAGCTAACAATTTATCATAAGTGAAAAATGACCCACGGAATATCTGCTGATCTTCTACACAGAATCATCCTGCTTATTATCCTGAGCATAAAAGCTTTATAGCATGTAGGGTACCTATAGAGTACCTATGGGTACTCAAATGGGTGTTTAGATATATAGCACAAAAAGTATATATACATATTTCTCTTGAGTGTCCAAGTGTGAGATCGCTGATCTTTACTACTAATGTGCTTGCAAACTAGTCTCAGATTGTATTTCATACTGTAATAATCAATAAATCATATGATTTATTTGGTTTCTCCCGCTGTATGTGAAAGCACACTGTAAAATAGTAAAAATATCAAGAACAACATGTTGCCTGAAAAAACAAGTCCAAGTCATAAACAGTGGAAAAACAACCAGTAGGTGGCATTACAGACTTACCAAATGCCTGTAAACTTGGGAAAGAAAGTAACTTTTTGCCATCATTTGTTAAGTTGGATTCTGAAGTCAGATAGCTCTCTTCCCCTGACAAGTTTGCATTCACTGCAGCGTTCCGTTAGATGTTCGTTGTTTGGAAAGGGGATGGGGGCTTCTCTTACTTGTTTTTTTCCCAGCTCTTGGCCCAGAAGATAATTTTATTCTCCTCATCAGTCTGCCTTTACAAGTGAACCACTGCAAAAAGGTCACTCTGCTTCTTCCATCTTATATCTTACTTTTTATCGCCTGTGTGAACACTACTGGTATGATCATAAATGTGATGATGTCATAGCAACAAGGCTTATAAATCAGGGGTGTGATAGGCAGCTCCATTTAAAAGTTATTCAAGAAATTAGGCTACATTCCTTCCTTCAGGCTGAGGACAATAACACTGTACTTACTGCAAGCAGCCACCCTGAGCAGAAGCAGATTCCACGTACTGCTTCAGAGCAAGCCGGAATTCCTCCATTTCTTCTTCTATCACAGACATCTGACGTTGAACGATCATTATGTGCTAATACAAAAACATGACAATATTACTGCCCTATCATCCTCTGAATTCCTTGTACTTTAAACTCAGAAAAGTCTACCATAAAACAATAAAAATAAAAAAACCCAAATAATCAAACAAAACTCCCAAAAGTTCCTTTGAAGTTTGCTGTCCCTGTTTTAGTGCTCTAGAGTGGAGAAGTAAAAATGCTCAAGTGTGGCTTCTATGTCTAGGCAGGCTGAGGCTCAGAATGGAAACACCAAAATGAGAGAAAAGCAAGAGTTGTCCAAAGCCAGGATGAGAGAGTCTTTTTGGAAGAGGGTGAAGCAAATTTTGATCTTTGAAATGTTTGATAATAAAGTCAGCATGTTTTCTTGGATGAATCTGTGTGCCAACAGGGTGCAAGGTTTGAGATAAGAGCATACTCCCACAATCTGCACCGGATGCAGTATTACATTTGATTGAGGTGCTCTTACGAGAGCTGTCTTTTACCTTTTAGAGCTCTGACTCACACCCAAATGAGATTCCTAAGATAGTCCATGTCAAATGATTCATAGGGTTTTTTTACTCTACCTTTCTGCAAAAAATGAACAATCTTTATAAACAGATCTACTGAAACACCTGGCAGTACAGAAAATTTAATTATTGTGAATTATTATTATAATAATTTAGCTAATGTAAGTAGTTTACATATTGATTCATCCATTGAAGCTTGTCACCTTTACTAAAGCAATATTTAAAGAAACACCTGTGCTTCTTAGTTAATACAACTTCATCTCTTTTACAGGTTTTTGAATCATTTCCACCTTGATTATTGATAGTTATCCCTCCATCATAAACAGCCTGTCTAGCAATATTGTGTAGTCTCATTTAAAATAGAAAAAAAATCTGATGCAAATCCTGTGGTGAAATAAGGCGTCTGATGAATCATCTGTTTTGGTTAGTTTTTCATGTGTATGTCATTTGCATTTTGGTAGGTTCAGAGCCCTGAATTTAGGAATGCTAGTGTATTTGAAAAATTGAGCTCAATCTTTTGACGTAAACTTACTTAACAGTAAGTCTATTTCTGATTCATGATTTTGGTTTTGTAAGTTGTCATATTGATGGTTGCTTAGCACTAGATGCTCTCCCATCTTTCCTGATAAGGTTTCCTATAGTGGTTTTGGGAGGGAGGAATGGAGGGAGGCTGTACAGCTATGAATTAAAGCACGCATGTACTATTAGGTGACTGGGAGCAGAGAAGCTACCACCCTATAAACACTGTGGCCCAATTTGGTAAATCTTATTAATGACACTTTTTCCATCTTATGGGAGTTGAAGTTTTGTCTCACTGTATCCTTTAAAAACAATATAAAAGTTTTACCCACATATTCTAAGTCAGTTTTGTTTTGTTGCTTCTAGCATAATGTATTCTGCTACCTAAAATGGATTATCACTGGAAAAAGTGAGGATGGTGACTTTTTAAATGATTTTTTAACAAAAGAGATCAGGTGAGATTGTTGTCTCAATACCTGGCATTCAAAATCAAATGTCAAAATCATTATCTTGAAAATCACTTACAGATCTTGCATTTCCTTCCAAAACTTCCTCTTCAAATGGTTCAAGCTTTAGGTCCTTTGAAGCAGTTGAAAAGAAAATAGAAATATAAGAGGCAATATTGGAGCTGTATTCTGCTCTTACCTTTTTAACAAACTGTTCCAATGGCTAGATTCTGTTTTATCTCCAGAAGTTGTAACTAAATTCCTTCTTTATTAGCTGCAAGTCATACACAAGCATTGTTTGCAGAATCCTTCACATTTCGGTGGTTAAATCCTTAATGGTTTCCAAACAGGCTGTTTTCTAAAGTTTTATTTATAATGCTGAGCAGGTGCTTTTTGCATTTGTAACTAATCCACTTGTTCCAAATGTACATTGGACTGAACTGAGAAAAGACAGATACCTTCTCAGATTGTCACGTGGACTACGGAGATGAGCAAGGATGGTAATTTGAAATGAGCTCTCAGCTACAGTTATGCAATCATAAAACTTTACACAGAAGGAATTCCTCTAGGGGGGTTTATGGTTGCAAGGGACTGTTTTCTAGCAGTGAAAAACATGTGCATGATGTTCAAGTCAGGTTTCTGAACTGCTGCACTTGCTTCTGAGGACAGGCTGGGCAGCCACCAACAGATGCATCTGTGAGGCAGCAGCATGCTTGCTTGGCACACAAACCCGATGCGCTCTTCATGAATCAGTGATTCAGGCAAACACCATCTAGTAGTGCACACAAAATTATCATTGACATGCTAGGCACATGCACTACCTTCTAATCCAGTGCCATATGGATATCCTGAAAGATATCCATATGCCTGAAAAAAAGCAGATCGATTTGCAATAAGCAGCTGGAGCAAAATGCACTGTTAGAGGCGCTTCCTTTCTCATTGCAAACAACTCTTGGGTAACAAAGATAAAAAATATTCTACTTGCAGCTGGGTGAGGATTGATTAACCTCAGGGAGCAGGCATTTTTCCAGCACAAATATTGTACTTGCTGAAAAGCCAACAAGAGGTGTGCAGGTAGAATTCAATGAACAGGGGACCTCCACCAGCAGCAAGTGGCAGAGCAAGGCAGGAGTGAAGTAGCAATCACACTGTTGTGTGGCTGTACCTCTCCTGCAGAATGTGCAGAGAAAGGCATGAAATGTGTGTGTGAGGGGAAAAACACCCAGCTTTAGTAGCTCATTTGTCAGTGCACACACTTCAGATAAAACCTTGAGGGAAAAATGCTATTGCTGTGGTTCTTCTAGACTTTCAGTGCAATTTTTTTCTAGGGAAAAGAATGGAAAAAGAGAGGAAAGAAATGACAAGTTGTACTCCAAACTTCTCTTAAGGTAGCAAGAAAAGAATTTTACTTTTTCCAGTATACAGAAATTTAGAACTTAAGAAAAAAGAGACAACTTATGAGACTGATTCATGGTTAAATTCAGCTTTGACAGAAGACAGCAGAAGAGTTAGACAACACTAAATCAACCATTCATCGGGTAGTTTTCCAGTAGGAACCATTGATGACTAACTTGCTGGACCCCTCAGGAAGTTAAAAACAATCTATAGCCAGCCTGCTGTGACATCGGATGATGAGAGCTCTGGCATGTAGTCCTCATCTGTGCAGAAAGAGTGCTCATGCATTGGCTGACTCAACATGGAGCATGAGTGAAGTAGCCCAGTGTGGAGAACAGAGCTCCTGCCTGACAGTTATCACGCAGCCTGCAAATGAAAGCTGATGCAGTTCACAGCTGGGGCTTTAAAATGCCTCCACAGTCCCACCCCACCTCAGCTGAGAAGTGGTAGCTTCTGAAGTTGCCTTTTGGCTTGATTGTACAATCCTTTCTAATCTATTTCAGGGCAAAGTAAAAAAGAGGAGCTTTAGCTGCCACAAGATGGCTGATATTTAACACCTCTCACAGAAGTGGCTGTGAGGTCGAAAGTCAAACAGAATACAAAGTTAGGCAAAGGTGGATATAGTGTGTCTATTGGCATGGGTTTCTCTAATTGCTGTGTTTTATTAATCAAGTTTTATATTGATACAGAGATAATTATGGAAGGTCTATGCTCTGCCACCATTTCCCTTTGGCACTGAGCTACTTTTCAAACTGAGGTTCTCTGTCATTTATCTGTAGCAGATTTGATCATTTTATAACATCTCTGTTGCAAATTTATTTATTACAAAATGGTCATCTGCTTTCTGTAACATTTGCATTGCATTATTATTGTATGCCAGGTTTCTTTTTTCAATAACATTCTTTTAAATGTTCAGTTTCCTTAAACTCCTTTTGGCATCAGTCCATGTCAGGAGGCAACTGTGGCAGGGCAGTGAGCTGCTGCTTCCAAAACAGAGCT